GCCACACACCTTGCGTTTTAAGCGCCGATGCCAGGTGCTCAATGAATATCCAACCCTCCAATGTAGGAGTCAAATGAACTCACTCGGCATGAGCGGCTCTTCTCCACAGCGCCGAGAGCAGCGCCAAATGTGATGATGTTTGTCTGCCTTGGTCAGAGAACCGGTGAGGCAGTTCAGGGAATCTGCGTTTTGCGCGGAGCCATCGTGTGCCATCTGGACATGAAGTGCGTCTTGGGCAAAATGCCGGTGTTACACGTCATCCTCGGACACGCGTTTTTTGTCTCTGCTCTCCATACAGCTGTTGAGAGCCTGTGCAGCGTACAGAAAGCGAACATCGAGGCTGTCCTCGGCCCCATTGTGCAACTGCTACAAGTTCACAAAGAGCCCAATACCCCTTAATTGAGGAATATACCTTAAATCGTAACATTAAGGCCCCTATAATTTAAGGTATATAAGTCCCTTGTTTAAGGGGGTTTCATGGGCTCTCTCTGTTTGTATCCGAATAGGGGACCCTAACAGTACCCCAAAATAGTAGGATTATAAGGACCCCCAATAAAGGTACTCCCCCCCCCCCCCAACTTTCGGAAAGTCCCAGTTAGATCAAGTGAGGGGCAGTCGCAGCAACGAGATCTCCTCCAGCAAGCCGAGGGCAATCTGCCAGCGTTCGCCTGAGAAGTTCCCCGCTGAAGGGAGACTCGTTTTTGCTCCATGATAAGGTTTAGGGTCTAGGGTTCAGGGTTTTAGGGTTTTCGGGTTTTAGGGTTTTAGAGGGTTTTAGGGGTTTGGGGTTTAGGGGTTTTAGGGGTTTAGGGGTTTAGGGGTTTTAGGGGTTTTAGGGGTTTAGGGGTTCAGAATGGCCAGCGCTTCGGAGCTCGACGTCGCCGTTTCGAAGAGCTATGCTAACCCCGAGGTAAGCGCCGTGGCCGAAACAGAGAACCCTTGGCTCAGTCTTCGTCTGGGGCCACCGCCCCGCGCGCAGGCCGTGATGGCTGCGGTATACGAGACCTACCGGGCAGGAGACTCCCCGAAGCGTCAGTCGGATCAGGTTGTCAAACCATCGGCAACCCAGAGAGCCCAATATACCCGTTTAATAAGGGACTTAGATACCTTAAATTATAGGGTCCTTAATCTTGTGATTTAAGGTATATGCCTTAAGTAAGAGTGTTGGGCTCTCTGGGAACAGCAACAGCCTACAACTCAGCATCCTATCCGCATCGCGGTCCAGAAACGGCAGCTGCGATCGACAGTCAATGTTTGTCCAGCGGTGTGACCAAAGATCTGTGAGATTCAACCACGAGCCCGACGCTGTGTGTTGCAAGCCAGTTGAAGTCCGACCCTAAACCCCTAAAGCCCTGCACCCTAAATCCTAAAACCCTAAACCCCTCACCCTAAAACCCAAAAACCCCAGAGCCGTAAAACCCTAAAGCCCCAAACCCCTAAACCCTACACCCTAAACCCCAAACCCCTAAAACACTACACCCTGAACCCCTAAACCCAAAACCCCTAAACCCTAAACCCCTTAACCCAAAAGCCCTGCAACTTCGGCTTGGAGCCCCGGGCTCGCGGCCTCCGTCGGTCGCAGCTCTGCCGGCAGCCCGCGAAAGAGGCGGAGGGCCTCCTGCCAGCTGCTGCCTGCCAGGACCCTCCTTGTACCCTCAAACAGGGTTTAGGGGTTTTAGGGTTTTAGGGTTTCGGGGTTTAGGGTTGAGGGGTATAGCTTATATGCCAGGACCCTCCTTGTACCCTCATTTAGGGGTCTATGGTCCCAAATAAGGGGTATTTATAGGGTCTAAGAAGGGGGAAGGATGGAGGGTCTAGGGAGAGACTCCACCGTATTTTTATCCTCGCCTTTCGCGTGGGAGCTGATGGCAGCATTGTAGGCGACGACATCCATGCCTTATAAGCTGCAGAGAGAACCGTGTGAGGCCACAAGTCAGCCGTCGAGACTGCAATCACCGTCGCAGGCATAATGTAGGGGCCTATATAATTAGAATACATGATTGTAGAATACTCCCCCCCAAAGGCTATTCTAATTATTAAGGCCCCTATAGTAAGTGCATGCATCTTCTTTTAGACCTCCTGCGGTCGGGATTCGACTGGGGACAGGAGAGCATTGAACTGCGAATGCGATGGGAATCTCAATTCCTGCCAACTTCGCAGAGAGCGCAATACCCCTTAAACAAAGAATATATACCTTAAGTTATAGGGGCCTTAATATTATGATTTAAGGTATATTCCTTAATTAAGGGGTATTGGGCTCTCTGGGTTGTATCCGAAAACCAATCTCATAATATCTCTCACAGCTGCGGATGCGGAATCGCACGACAATTCACACATTGGCCAGCTGTGTAGGCTCCTTAGCTGCAAGAACTCGAAAGCGTGGCTGCCTGCGAAAGATAGTCATGCATAAGAGGATTGCTTCCAAGCAGAACCTGCTTCGAAGTAGACAGGAGCCCCCCCCCCCCTCAGCAATCTCAAATGCACGCCCCAACCCCTAAACCCTAAACTAAACCCTAAACCCTAAAAACTAAACCCCAAACCCTAAAAACTAAACCCCAAACCCTAAAAACTAAACCCTAAACCCTAATGACCCTAAACCCGAAACCCTAAACCGCGGTGCGCAGGGAGAGCGATGCGCGAAGCAGAGGCGACAGCCAGGCCAGGAGGACAGAAGACGCCGGGACGCCGCAGAGGGGCGGTTTGATACCCGACGCGGAGAAAGCGGCTTAGAGTTCAGGGTTTAGGGTTTAGGGTTTTGGGAAGTTAGTGTTTAGAGTTTAGGGGTTCAGGGTTTAGGGGACTACTAAGTACGGCTATTTTAAGGCCTGCAGGGGGTCCAAGGGTCTTGCACGGGGTTGATTGCCGATGCTTGTCAAGTAAAGGTGCTGGACGGCTTGCACGCTGCTGCTCTGACTTAGACAGATGCATCAAACCAGGGCGCCGAGACAGCTGCGAGCGCAAACATGCATACAAGTCTCCCTAGCTTCGCAGGACCTCAATGCAATGAGCATTAAACTCTCAACGCAAGCGTTGATTCTCTGAGCAGGAAGCCAACTCAGCCAGAATTCTTAATGGCCTAGAGCTTCGGTTGAGGGGGCTGGCAGAGATCGGGTCCATGACAACATACCTAGCTGGCCGTGGCCTCATCACATCATGCTTGTCAAAGAATGCAGCATCTTCCATGGGTACTGCTCTTCTCAGAGTTCCTGGACATGTGAGTTTCACAACACCAAGCCCAGCCCTGTTCCACGGTCCCCCACGTGCAAAGCACCAGCAACCATCTGTGTAGTTCACCGTCTTCGTCGTGTTCCTCTAAACCGAAGGCTTGCTGCTTGCAACTTCAGTCGGAGCTGCTGGCGCGAGCTACAGGATGTGGTGATTATGACGACTTCGGCGTCGGGCAGGGATCTCTGCAAAAACCTATAGCTGAAGACAAGCAGGCTCCCTTGTCATGTAGGTTCAGCAGAACTTCCCAAAAACATATGATTGCCTCGTCGCATGTGCCGAAGATGGCTTCTACAGCTTTGCAGCGGGAGTCCCAAATCCCAGAACCCCCCCCCCCCTCCAACTGCTTGTTGCAGAAACCCGCTTTTTCCCAGCCGCTGCAGCCACCAAGCCCCCACTTGGCAGCAGCGACAGGAGCTCCAGGAGAGTCCTGAACTGTCGGCCCGTGTCACCTCGGCTTCGCCAATTTCACCCTGGCACATCGGAGCCTCCAACAAGCCTGTCAGTCAGGCCTCAACATCTGCGAACAATGCTGCGGAACGTCTCAGCTAAGTCTGATTTCTGTCTCGGACCGGAAAGTTGCAACAGGAGCCCATGGCCGCGCCCAAGCCGTTTCCCTTGCAGAGGCCCGCCGTGCTTGCGGCTTGCTTAATCAGTGTGGTTTCGGCTTCGCGCCAGAGCCTTGCAGCGGCTTGGACTGGGACCCCATGGTGGACTCACTGAGGAGAAGCGGACAGCCAGGAGAAGCGGCAGCACAGAGCTGCGAAGGCAGCTAAGCAGCTTTCGGACACCTTGCCCTCAACCTGCTAAGAACACCCGCCATCCGATCGGCTTAAGATGGGGGAGACTCCCCCTTGGCGAAAGGCCTTTGAAGCAAGATGGCGCGAGCGCCCTGTCGGACCGATGAAGAGACGAAGGGTCGTGGGAGACGATCAGCTGGCAGCGCTTGCGGTCCTGGTATCGCCAACGGGGACTCAGCTGGTCTCAGTCAGCGCCTGCTGGTAATTCGTACGGTGGGCGTGCTCGGCGCCTTTTTTGGGCGGGGCCCCTGCTAAGCAGCGGCCAGTGGAACTTCCTTCTTCTGTTCTGTCTTCTAACTGCATACCACGTATGCACCGGTTGGAGCCCTTCAAGTTCGACAGAATCTGGGAATTTATGATTGTGTTGGCAACTCGAATAGTTATACAGGTATACATCTGACCCGCAGACTCAGACTCCATCTGCCAGGACACACGCAGTGACTGCCACCTCCGATGTGATGACATTTCCCTCAGTTGAGCTCCGCAGCAGGTCCTGGCTTAAACGCAAGGGACACAAAGATAAGTTCACAGGGCTACGAACGCATGGAGTCACAAGCTTCGTGAAGCAGCTTGCCACCAACATGATCAACGTCTGAAGGGCAGAAACATGCAAGCTCTTGCAAGATCTTGCGAGCCTCCATCAAAGACAATACCTGCTGCCACAGCCTGTGTGTGTGCGCTGTTGAGACGGGCTTTCAGCAAATGGAGGTGGGCAGGATGTCGGAGAACATGACGCAACTGACGACGCTTCCGAACATGGGCTGATCAAACAGCATACTCCCTCAGCACCGACTAGTGACCATTCTTTGTCTGATTATTGGCAGTGTCACACTAACTGTCGGCATCTTCCCAGACATGTCCGAGTCTTAGAGTAGTCCAATGGAAGGTCGTGGACAGGCAATTCGAAAACTTTGCAGCCATGTAGAACGCAAACTCTGTGCCCAATCGCTTGGCAACCCTTGGACCCCAGCTTGCCTGCATCTCCCACATGCACGCATCACCGAGCTGTACGTGATCACCTTGGTCGGCCCACTTCTCCAAGTTGTTTCTGGGATCTTCGTACCAGACGCAGCCAAAACGGTAGCACGAATTGAAACCTCTGAAGCACAGGACCCCTGCTGTCAGCAACTAAGAACAGTTATGCTCGTCCGGCCTGTCACCCTCACGGGATTGCTTTGAAGAGGCACATCCGGAGTCACGGAACGACCGTCCAAGGCGGAGAACAACACCAACCTGGGTCGGTTTCAACCACGAGGAAGCAAACATTGAAGCAGCAATCGTCTATGCGAGACATGGCTCGGTTCCTGCATGTGGGTAGTTCTCTAAATTAGGGTCGCTTCTTAGGTCCCCAATATTAGTACGGCACCCTTATAAAAAAAAGGCCCCTAAAAGGGACCACGTGCGTTTTGTGCATGATCTGAGCTCCAAAGCCCTCGCAGCCCATATGTAAAAATATGGAACTGAGGCATGCTTCGGGGCTCCCTAAACACGTGATGTGCCACGAAATCCGGAAGCCCCCGTGCCTTCTTCATCTTCGGCCCTGACATACTCAAATGGACATGGGTAGTTCTCTAAATTGGGGTCCCTTTTGGGGCCTTTTGGGGTCCTTTTTATAAGGGTGCCTAAAAAAGGGACCCTAGCTTAGAGAACTACCCACATGTAAAACTATCCAAGGTCTTAAGACTGAGCCCTCAAAGCCACGTTCGTGCTGTCACTCCTTCCACACAGCATGCACCCACAATGAAATGTCGCCTACCCCCAGGAGGAAATCATGCACCGTCCATGTCAGCCTAACTTTCAGTGACCATTGGCACTCGAAGTACAACCGCTCTTGCCTACCCTTTCCACCCAGCTTTGACGACGGAACATGCAGCCCAGCCACGCCGGGCGCCAGCGGCCGCCCTTCTCTGCGGCACTCAGTGCCGCGTTGCAGGCGACAAGGTCGGCACACAACCGCCGAAGAGGGAACTCCTGCACTACTAGCTCCTTTCTCCCGATCTGAGGTTGTAGACAGGGAGTTGAATCAAGCAGCTGGGCTGGGCGAGTATTGTGGGCATCGCAGTGTTGTGAAGATCTCTTCCCTGGCTGGTTGCGAAAGGCTGTACTCAGGAAACAAACATGTGTTTCGCATCATCTCATCTTGAAGCATTCGAAAACCCGAGAAAAGCCCCAAAGAGTCAACGGCAACCTCCGCGCCTCCAAGAAAACGAGAGCCAGGCGCCAGGCTGCACCCTCCTGAAAATTTTATCCAAGAGTGGAATACCCAGAGAGCCCAACTAACCCCTTAATTAGGGAATATATACCTTAAATCACATAATATTTAAGGCCCCTATAATTCAAGGTATATATATCTTAATTAAGGTGTATTGGGCTCTCTGAGTTGCGGCTCACACAGTGCAAGGTACCGAGGAAACCGATGTTTCGAATGACTTGTCGCACAGGGCGGGGAACCAGAGAGCCCAATATCCCTTAAATAAGGAATATACCTTAAATCATATAATATGAAGGCCCCCTAGAATTTAAGGTATGTATTCCTTATTTAAGGGGTATTGGGGTCTCTGGGGAATTCGAGCCCGTCTGCAAGCGGCCTTAGAACTCGAGGATTGGTAGGACACCACGCTACCGTCACATCGTTTTGCAAAGTTGCACTGAAACGGGGCAGCCGTCTTCCAGGACCCTCCTTGTACCCTCAAATAGCGGGATATGGTCCCCAAAAAGGGGTACTTAGGGTCTAATAGAGGATAGAGGGAGGGTCTAGGTTGACAGCTGCAGACATTAGTGTAAAAGATCTGCTGAGAGCCTTGAGTGCCTGCTGTCATACTCCTACAGTCCTAGAATGTCCTAGAGATCCGAAGCGTCAGGGTCAGTGCACAAGCCCTCTGAACGACGGAAGACTATCTAGCAGAAACGCTGCCGATCGCGAGCGTCTTCTACGGCTGCTAGCTCAACCTTGCAAAAAACACTCGCCGGAAACACTTGGACAAAGTGTCAAAGAGTGGCGGAACGTTCACCTCTTGCCCCCAGACCTGTGCCCACCGTCTGCGACACCGCCATCGACTAGACCCCCCAGGAGTCCCTAAAAATCCTGTGCCCAATATGAGCCCAAAAACCCGGACTTCTCCTCGCAGGCACTGAGAACTGCATTGCAGCACACCTGATGGCCGAAGCCAAAGCAGGCTGATGTGTGGGTGTTCAGGGGGCGGCTTGTCGAGGCGGCTTGCACACTTTTCAAGTTGTCTGGTGCTTTGTGAGGACTTTGAGTTGCATGTCTGGGACAGTACCCATAGGCCCCTAAGTAGTTCCTTTCTATGGTTTATATATATACATATATATCCTATAAGGTAGTCCCAAAAGGGAACTACTTAGGGGCCTATGGGTACTTACCAGACGGCACCTTCAAGCAATACACGGGCTGAAGGTCCGAGGTTCGCAGGTTAGCAGATCCCGCAGCCAAGCCTTGACTTGCCAAGTAGGGCCATGATTCCGCGTTCTGGTACAGTTCACTAAAGCTCTCAACCTAAATGCCCGAATTTCGAACTTTTGAACTGCGCACGTTTAGTTCCGTGTTGCATCACAGGTCCAAAGCTTCAGTCACTTTAGCCCACGCCTGGCTGGTGCGGGTCATGGCCCACAGTGCGCCGTGAAGGCACAATGCCCGCAGCCACTGGTCGCCCTTCACACACCTCTCCAGTTTAGGAAAGCTTCGAGAAAGTCAAGTCCAAAGCCAGGCTCTATATTGGGCACCACTGGACCACTCTTCTGAGATTGTCTTCATCCTGTTTGGCAAGCTCGAAATCCCCCAAGAATCCCGGTCTGAGTGGCGGGCAGGCCCTTCTGTTGATATCTTGACTTATTGCGGTTATACACGATCTGCCTATGGGGGTCTACAGTGATCTAATCTGGGAAACCATTGCCAACCACTAGTTCCTTGTTTCCGTCAAGGACATGTGAAGAAATGTAATGGTCTAATGTTGAAGACAAGTACCGTCAACTCGCCGACTCGTCGCATGCCATGGGAGTGCGAGCTTGCAAACCCCCCCAAAACCCTCCACCCCAAGCCCGCTCGAAAGGGTTTAGGGTCTAGGGGTTTAGGACCTTAGGAAACTTCAGCCGGCAGGCGTGCTGATGGCAGCACCGGCGGCCGCCACGCTCATTTCCTGAGCCGTCCGCGCCTCCAGATTCGCCAGGGCCACCTTCTCGCAGAGACCTAGAACCCTAAACCCTCAATCCTAAACCCTAAACCCTAAACCCTAAAACCCTAAACCCCCTAAATCCCTAAGTCCCTAAATCCCTAAACTGTTAAGCCCTAAATCCCTAAACTGTTAATCCCTAAAGCCCTAGGCCCCTAAACCTCCCGATCCCTTCTCAAAGGCCCAGGAGCCCAACTAACCCCTTCATTCCGGAATATATAATACCTTAACTCATATAATGTTAAAACCCCTATAATTTAAGGTATATATTCCTTAATTGAACCTTAAATCATCTAATATTAAGGCACCTATTATTTATGCTATATTCCTTATGGAAGAGGTAATGGGCTTTCTGGGCTTCTGAAAGGCCTGCCAACTCGAGCTCCGCTCACAGGCCGAGAGCAAAGCGCCCAGCGACACGGCGCTTGGCCGCAGCTGGGAGGGGCGCTGCCGCGACCTCGGCTGCTAATTTGGGGGCCTCAATACTTAGAATAGGTAGAATAGGGTGTTAGGGATTCCTTATTATAAGTTTAGTAGAATATACCCCTGTAATATAGTATAGTAGCCTCCATAACTAGAATAGGGTTTTGGGGTATATTATACTATAACTTTGATAAGGAACCCCCAAATTAGTGTAGACAATCATTAAGGCCTCTTTATTAGGCCCGCAGACACCCTTGCGAGGCAAACGCCGAGGAAAGGGGTATTCGCTCCTTTTATGCTTGCATGTGTTGTGATCAACATCAATGTAGATGATGGCCTATGCTGCTGTATGTTGAACTTGTTATTGTTCATGGGTTCGTGCTGTCCATGTTTTCATGTTGTCCATGATGATGTTGTTGTTGTGGTTGTTGAACAGGATAGGAACATTTCCGAAACAACTACGTGCAACAAGCGCAGAAGCGCGGTAAATACCGACTTCCGACATCTGTACATGGGTCGCAACATGGATGCAGCCGCATCGTAAGTTGCATTGTTTTGACGCACCCGGGCAGAAAATTCCAGGATTTGTCTCCGGCTGCGTCTCTGTGGAAAAAGAACATTCGAGACCACGAAGATTGGAAACCGTCGTAAATACCTTCGTTTTCGGCCTTTGCGAAACGTCAGAATGGCAGGCGCGAAACCTCATAAGCAAAAACGCGGAAGCTGTCGGCAGATCACCCACAAGAAACACCGCAACGATGCAACCGCCATGTGGGTTTTGCGGGTTTGCATTGTGTTGGAGCGATGTTGTTGCTGCTGCTGCGGCTGCTGCTGCTGCTGCTGGTGCTGGTGCTGATGCTGGTGCTGGTGCTGATGCTGGTGCGGTTGCTGTCGTCGTCGTCGTCGTCGTCGTCATCGTGGTCGTCGTGGTGTTGTTGCTGCTGATGCTGTTGCTGTGGGTGTGGTTGTGGTTGCTGGCGCTACTGTCGTTGCAGACGGTCTTCGTCGTCCCAAAGTCCGAGGCACAACCAACCCATGGCCTGCTGCCATCGTCGGACCAGGCCGCAGGCCGTGCTGGTGGCATTGTAGACGACGACATCCGCCTCCCAGCGCACACGAGTCTTGCCAAGGGGTCCATGTCCTCGGGTTTCATGCGTCGGAAGGCCAACAACATCCGAAAAATCAATGAAGACGCCAAGTCCGCTTCCGATCTGCCGTCAAGGAGAAAACACTTCGACCTTCATCCCCTCCCCCCCCCTCCCCACATGGGAGAAGCATCCCATGACCGATCCAGTGGCCCTGAGCCATGTATAACCTCGACATACGTGACACGTACTTCACATGCTCCGCCTCAGCGCTGGATTGCCGCAAGCGAGCAAGCAATGGGCCTGCGACCTTCACTAAACCCTAAACCCCTAAACCCCTAAATCCGAAACCCTAAACCCTAAGGGCAAGGATTCCAGTCGCCCAGCTCTGTCCGAACCTAAAGCCCTGCTAGGGTTCGGCTCGAGGTTGCGGTTCCGCAGTTTTTTGGAGGTATGGTATGGGTTTAGGGTTTAAGCTTTAGGGTTTAGGGCTTTCGGAGGTATCGGTATAGTGGTCTAAATACGTCCTCGTAGCGTACTCAATGAAGCCGACTTGCATCTCTGTGATGCCAGCAGAAAATGAAACACCCGAACTCAGCTCGTCCGAAAGAAGCCGGGCCATCGTTGCCCCGTGTCGAGCTTTTTAGATCAGAGGCCTCACTGCATGCCTCATGCGAGTCCCCCGGATCCCGGAGCCGCGCAATCAGCTAACTAGACCCTTAAGCCCCTACTCCCACCCCCGAGCTACCTTCCATTCCCCCTCGCGGCCCACTTGCCGGATGGCGGTGCTGACGGCCGCAGGCTCCATCTGCCAGCATTCGGGGAGTGAAGCAAGGCTGTCAATGCATACTTAAGTCTCGCTCCTCAAATTTACCTCTCTCCCGGACTGCACGGCTGAACTCAAAAACAGCGGGCAACTTACAGCAAAGTTCAACAAGACATCGACGTCATGAGAAATCGATGGCCGCGTGTGGCCGCAGGTGCTGCAACGTTGCATACGGATTGCTATCACCTCCTCCAAATGACCGCCGGCGCAACTTGGCAAAAGAACCGTCGTCAGCCTTAGCCTGCATCGTGACGAGGCTGCGGCGCCAGGTAAGAAAGTGCGAGCCCCCGCCACCTGTGGCGGTTCCTGGGCTGCTGCAAGGTTTTAGCATGGTGTCGCGAGGGATCAGGAATGGTTTGGGGGTACCACGAAGCCAACGTGGAAGCTTTGTATCAACTCTTCTGAAAGCCCCGCGCACCTGACTCTGCGAAGCCGTCGAAGTCCATGGACACGGCCAGCTTCCAGCCTCACCAAACATGCAGAACTGCTGGCTCCGAGGATTCACAAGCTGGGGAGGCTTCGCGCTTCGGTGGGGTGAGGTTTAGGAACCTCCTATCTTCGAGTTCGGGCAAGTCCGGAACTGCCTTCGCACACTGGGTGACGAGGTCTTTGATCCACAGCAAGCTTGCACAACCTAACACCACATGCTTGTCACCTTCCGCAGAGTCCCCGCGCGCACTAATCTCAACTTGATTTTTGTCCCGAAACTCGCGATCTGATTTCCACCACGCCTGGAAACTGAAACACAACCACGCAGAGGCCCTGAAGCCGCTAGGCCACAAGAAGATCCCAGAGAGCCCAAGATACCCCCCTAATTAAGGAATCTACACCTTAAATCATAATATTAAGGCCCCTATAATGTAAGGTATATATGCCTTATTTGAAGGGTATATTGGGCTCTCTGGGACTGCCTCCTCTGCTTGCAGCAGATACGGCGGCGTGACGGGCCACCCGGTCCGGGCGCCTAGGAGAAGAGAGCTGATACTTTGGGGTTTAGGGTTTTAGGGCTTAGGGTGCCGAAGTAACAACCAAAAAGGCCATGGGGCCATGCACTTTTGTGGCGGCTGACGAGTTCGTCGAGGCACTCTTCGTCAGGTCTAAGGTAAACTTGAAAGTTTCGGGTTCGATCAGGATATGGACTTTGCGCGTACTTGCACCTTGGTGCCGCCGTCTATACCGAGCGGAGGGGACGCAGGGCAAATCCGTGCTTAATTCCTTGGTGTTCTGGCGATGGGATTTTTTGACATGAGAGACATGGCTGAGGCATCCCGTGACCTCAACCCGGACAAACCTTGGAAAAGCGGTTACAAGAGGCAAAACTATGCACTGACTGGCGGAGGCGACAACATCAGCATCTGACTTATGCCTCGTACGTGCAGTTGACTCCCGAAGATGCGAAGCAATACCCCTCAGAACACGGCAGCCTGGGGATAGGATGTTTCGAGCCTTCCCTTTGCATTCTTTGGCTCTGGTGTGTGACTGGTCGCGGTCAAGACGCGTGGAGTGCAAAGGTAGGGGAAGGCATTTCCAACTCCGCGCCGAGTGGCAGACCCCGACAGAGCTCCTTGAAGATGCAAAGGGCGGCAGCCCACTGCGCCCCTGCAACTACCAGGACCCTCCTTGTACCTTCAAATAGGGATATATGGTCCCAAATACCTAGGGTCTAATAGAGGGTAGATGGAGGGTCTAGGTATGTGGAGCGCCGCTGCTGAGAGTTGATGATTTAGGCACTACGCTCTGGTCTTTCAGGCTCTTCGCAATCACTTCCGATTGGGCTCCAAACGATTTGGAGCTGAGTTCTAAACCGAAGTAGCTATAGGCAAAGCCGCAGCAGCTGCAGATCAAGTTGTGAGCTGTCTGAAGGCAAAGGCACTTGGGCTCTGTGGTTGTTGTCAGCTTTTCCGCCGTCTTTGGGCAAAGGGGTTGCGTCGAGTCGGTGTCCTGTAAGACGCTAGTGTGTGAGAAGGTCTGGGCAGTCTGGTTCCAAAGAACGGCACGACGGTGCATTGAAATACTGTCCGCGGAAGCCCAGCTCTTCATCCCCTCTTCCCTGATGTAGCTTTGTTTTTATACCCTATACGTTTGACTTATACACAGCTGCGGGAGTTGATCACCCATCATGCCTAGACCCTCCATCTGCCATCCATTAGACACTACATACTGGGCCATATACCCCTATTTGAGGGCACAAGGAGGGTCCTGTCCCTAAACCGAAAACCAGTCCTCAATGACTACTTCAAGAATTCTCAAGTGCCATGCATAGGCCTCGGGCACAGGCCTGAGTGGTTGTACCGGCCACGATGACCTTCATCAAGAATGTCTGTGTCGGAGGGTCTCTGCATGGGTCCATGGCTAGCCGAAGTTACCGACTCAGATGTCCACAAAGCAGACAAAGTAGTCACAAACAAGAGCCCTTGCTCGGCATCGGCGTGTGCCGGTGATTGTGTGTGTGAGAGACAGAGACACAGAGAGAAAGAGAGAGAGAGAGAGAGAACGGAGCCAGAAGCTTAAGGTGGCTTGTGCCCTGCCACTTTTCCGCCATTGCCCTCTTGCTCAAGGCAAGACCCCGGAGGGACGCGGGATCGCATGCTGCAATGTGGCCTTTGCACTCTTCACTATGGCAATGAGGAGCCTCAACAGTTTCTTCGACTATATTCTGTACTGGAGGGCTCTTGGAAAGATGCGTGCAGCCAGCCTGCTTGCAAGAGGCACATGGATATAATTCGACCGCTGATTGCCCACCCTCTCGAAACTCCAAAACCCAACACTGCAATCATCCCGAGCACGTCTTAGCGCCCTAAACCCTAAACCCCTAAACTCTAAACCCCTAAACCCTAAGATCCCGGCGTTGGGGTTGATGCCCTTGCGCTGGAGATCGCCGAGGAGACCCGTGGCCTTCCGAAAACTCCCTGGTTCTTAGCAGGGAATGGGGGGAATGGATCCCTATGATAGTCCCTTAAGGTCCCCTTTAGTAGTCCCAATAACCCATGCCCCCATTCCTTACTAAGAACCAGCCAGAAAAGCCGGCGCTCCAAAACGCACTCGAGGTCTGGAGCAAAAAAAAAGTGCTGGGCTTCGAGCCAAGGTGTCCCTAGGGTTTAGGGGTTTAAGGGTTTCGGAGTTTAGGGCTTAGGATGTAGGAGCCTGATTAAGAAACCCTGGGCTTTTTTTTTAGGGTTCTTGATCTGAAAACTCGTGTTGTGGGGTTATAGGGCCAGGGTTTCTTAATCAGGTTCCTACATTACCCTGCTTGCGGCTGACCTTCGACATGGTCTAATTACCTAGACCCTCCATCCACCCTCTATTAGACCCTAAACACCCCTTATTTGGGACCATATACCCCTATTACATGGTGTCACTATTATATGAAGTTACCCTCTATTAGACCCTAAACACCCCTTATTTGGGACCATATATCCCTATTACATGGTGTAATTTTATACGAAAGTTACATGTACCCTCTATTAGTATCTGGGACCATAGACCCCTACTACATGGTGTAATTCTTATACGAAAGTTCTATGAAGCAGTCACGCGCGGCTTGACCTCCGAGTCGGGACTTCCGTTCTCCGTGCCTAAAAAACACAACATCTCCTTTCTACCCATGAGCCCCTAAGTAGATCCTTTTTTGGGATTACCTTGTAGGATTCTAAATATAAACTATAAAAAGGAACTACTTAGGGGCCTATGGGTATACTCCGGAATGAAGGGAGTCATCGCAGGCGCTTTCTTGGGGGGGCAGGAAGCCGGGAAAAACAATGCAACTGCTGCCCGCAAGCTTGCGAAGATTCGTTGAGAATTGTTCCTGAGACAGTTCGGGCCCTTCGTGAGTGCCTCGCGCGCTCCCGTCGCGCGTAGACGTGGGCGCTTGAGAGCATGTTGGATTCCCAGAATGCCTGGATCAATCCTGAAACGTCAAGCAGAACCAACCCCCGAAGTCTCGAAGTGTGCTAATGTAGAGCCCTTAATAATTAGAATAGGGTTTTGGGGGTTCCTTATTATAAGTGTAGTGTAATATCCCCCAAACCCTATTCTAATTGTTAAAGCCACTCTACTACTTCCATGGAGCTCATCTCAAGGTGCCTGCAGCCACTGGTCTGCCCGGTCGCAAGCACTGAGTGTGGCCCCTGCCGTGATGATGTTGCCTGGCTGGTCTGAACACACCTAGACCCTCCCATCTACCCTCTATTAGACCCTAAGTACCCCTTATTTGGGACCCTAAACCCTATTTGAGGGTACAAGGAGGGTCCTGGTACGTTTGTTAAGTCAACTGACTGTACCAAGCTTCGATTCCCCTATACGCACCTTCGAAAGTGCAAGCTTCAGAGAGCTTTCAGCAAACTTGCCCAAGAAAGAGCGACAGGGAGATATGGAGTGCGAAACCTTCACCTGCCCCCCTAAACCCTAAACCCCTAAACCCCTATACCCTAAACCCCTAAACCCTAAACCCCTAAAACCCCTATACCCTAAACCCCTAAACCCCCCTAAACCCTAAACCCCTAACCCCTAAACCCTAAACCCCTAACCCCCTAAAGCCCCAAAAACCCCTGTACCCTAAACCCTCGAGGGCCTTCCAGCTGCCGGGGCTGCATCGCGGCTGCAAGGGCGAGGGCGTGGACCCAAGCAGCCTGCCGGCTTTGCGCCTCGGTAGCTGCTCTTCCGGAATGGGTACCGCTCTCTCTCTCTCTCTCTCTCTCTCTCTCTCTATATATATATATAAAATATAATTTAATTTAATATAGTATAATAAAATAAAACAAATTATAATATAGTATAGTATTGTATTGTATTGTGTTGTATTGTGTTGTATTGTATTATATATAAAAAGACAAACACATAGGTATCTCAAATTATTGCGTGGATGCTTGAATTGAACCTCAAGTGCTGAGGGAATTGGCTTCGCGAGGGGCGACGTTGCATCGGAGCGTGCCCTGGATATCACACTCGAGCAACCTTTTGCGGCCTGCACAACCCTAGATCCTCCATTTGCCCTCTACTAGACCCCAAGCACCCCCTTATTTGGGACCATATGCCCCCTCTAACAGGGGTCTAGGAACACGGCGGTGCGTTGTATGCCTCAACAACCTGCTGCGCACATGAGCAGCATTACGACATGACGAAGCTCCGGACATGCTTGCAGGAATCAGTGCACGCCGTAGCGATGATCGCAGTGAGCACACGGCCAACGGCATCCCCCGGCGCAATGAAACCCAAACTGCAAGTCCAAACGGAAACGATGTGTCCCCGCCGAGGCTTTAATCGAGTTCCGGAACTACTCAGAGAACCCAATACCCCTTAATTAAGGA